TGGTTTCTTTTACTTAGCATAATATTTTCAAGGGTCTCATTCTTTTTTAATGGATTTCATTATATAGTTATACCCTAATTTATTTAACTGTATCACTTTTGATGGACATTTAGACTGAGATTCCTTGTATGTGTAGTATTCAATTTATATACAGGTTCAACTATAATATAAACTACTAAAAATGGAATTATTGGAGCAAAACAGTATATACGTTTCTAATTTTGGTAGATACTGCCAAGTAGCCCTTTATAGAGACCACTAACTAATTTATATTCTCCCTACTCCAACAATGTATGAAATGACCATTTCTCCATAAATTTTCAAACACAGTATATATAAAACTTCTGGGTTATGGCCAAATGAGGAAGAAATAGTAGCTTGTAGTTTTAATTTGCGTTTTTATTATGAATAAGAATAAGGATTATTTCATTGTCTTAAGAGCCATTTGAATTTCTTTCTCTTGTGCTGTCATTTTTTTTGTAATTTCTCTTTTCAGCGGTTAGGTACTTACTGATTGTAGATATTCTTTATATATAAAATAAATCAATCCTTTGTCTTTGTTTATGTTTCTTACCATGCAGATATTTTTTATTTTTATGTAATTGAGTATTTTTATGTATCAGTCTTTTCTTTTATGGCTCCTGAGTTTTGATCATCTTTCGAAACACCTTGAGAATATTTTTTCCCAATATTTAAAAATTGAAATTAATTGTTAATTCACATGCATTTACAAGAAGTAACACAGATCCCTTGTACACTGTGCCCAGTTTTCCCCAATGGTAGCATTTTGCAAAATCGTAGTATACCAGCAGAGCCCCGATGGCACAGTGGTTAAGAGTTCAGGCTGCTAACCAAAAGGTCAGCAGTTCAAATCCACTAGCCACTCTTTGTCAACCCTGTGGGGCAGTTCTGCTCTGCCCTATAGGGTCACTGTGAGTCAGAATCAACTCAACAGCAATGGGTTTGGTTTTTGGTATAGTATAGTATGACAACCAGGATATTGACCTTGATATAACCCACCAATTTTATTCAGATTTCCCCAGTGTTACTTGATTCATTTCTGTGTGTGTGTATATATGTTAAGTTCTATATATTTTTTATCACTTGTGTAGGTTCACAGTTCCATCACCACAAGGATACCTTGTGTTGCCCTTTTTAACCACACCCACTTCCCTCTCACCTACACACCCAACTCCTGACAAGCACTCATTTAATCTCCATTTCTAAAATTTTGCCATTTCAAAAATGTATATATACAGTGTGTATTCTTTTTGAATTTGAGTTTTTCACTCAGCATAATTTTCTGGAGGTTTATCCAAGTTGTTGCATGTATCAGTATTGCTAAGTAGTATGTATATGTATGTGTATGTATCAATATTGCTAAGTAGTATCCTTATTCCATGGTATGGATGTATCACAATTTGTGTAACCATTTATCTGTTGAGGAACATCTGAGCTGATTTTATTTTTTAGCTATTACAGATGAACCTGCTATGAACTAGTGAGGTATGAATGATCCAGTGTTCTTGTCAGCATTTGGTGTTGTCACTTTTTTATTTTAGCCATTCTAATAGGTACGTAGTTATATCTCATTGAAGTTTTAATTTGCATTTTCTTAATGGCTAATGATATTGAACATCTTTTCATGTGCTTATTTGCCATTTGTATATCCTCTTTGGTGAAATACTT